AAAGTTGAGGAGGCGGTCCTAGCAACAGCAAGGACATTCCTACATATCTTCTGAAAGCCTTACAGCAGCCTCCTCAGAGGGACCAACATGGTGGGATCCTTGTTATTGAGGTGTGAAAGGGAGAGACTAGTTTACCTAAAACCGTCTAAAGAATTCTAGAATAACTGGGTCAAGATTTGGAGGTGGTTTTTGTTGAAGATGGCAAACAGATTCTGCAGCTCAGGCTTTTAACTACCATGCTGTTGCCATAACTAAGGTGCAGACTGCAGCTAGTAACAATTAAACTCACAGGTCTGTAGCAGCCCCCATATCACATAGAAAGAGAGGAGCCTCTTTAAGCACCTTCAGATAACTGTGTGTGTGTGTGTGATGTTTGTAGATAATACATAGAGTAGAAGGTTCATAGATTCCTCCAGAATTTGCCTAAATCTCTCTTGGGTGAATTCATTTCCTCTTCCTCCTCTATTTAGAAAACGGAATGAGTTTGCTTGTGTGCATTTATTGAGTATTTGTTTTTATTTATTTGTATCCTGCCTTTATTATTTTTACAAATAACTCACACACACACATCCCAAATTTATAATTTACAATAGAATTACTGAGAGGGATTGGCCTCCTACCCTGCTTTTTTTCTGGTTTTTAAACCTGTACACAACTGTTTTATTTTACATTATTTTCTCCAGCATAATTCGCCTCACTCACCATCTTCCCCACCATACAAGAAAGAAATATAAAACAGCACCTTTTCATATCAATGGCAACTCTTATCCTATCAAGCTCCATTTATTTCAATGAAATTGTATGATGTAGTCCAAGCTAGCACTTATAGCCTTTAATGAGGAATTGTATTTTTTCCACATCGCCCAATGAAGAAACCATTAGTATTCTCTTGACAATTTTAAACAGGATGCTTCTCCACCTCAGAGATGCAGCTAAGCTAAACAAAGAGCTTTCTCCATCAAGAAGCCCCTGGTTGATTGTGGTTCAGAAGTCTGTCCTCTGAACAGCTTTCGTTTTCGTTTCACAGCTCCAAGATAATTGTTTAAATTAGTGCTTCCCCAAGCAATTCACAACCCTGTCTTTGGAATTCCTGCACCTATCAACCCCAGCTGATAGTGGGGAATATGGGTCTCATCCACCGTATCTAGAAATCGGTAGTTGAAAGGGATAGGTTTACAACTGAGGGGTACATAGAAAGCAGCATTCCATACAATGAATCAGGGTTACATCTTTTTGAAACCAAGAACAAACTAGCCCATAGGAATCATCTTCTTGTTGCACAGCTAACCAATATATATNCTGCTGCTGCTGCTGGGAACCTTGGCCAAAGACTTTGGGGCATCAACGGATGGAGGGGCCAGGTGCTTGTCTAGGTCTCTGCCATGTCCACCATGATTGGGACTAATCTCAAGGCACCTTTTTGTTGTCTTTGAAACTACCTTCTGACATTTCTGGGCTAGATGAGAGTTAGGCTTTTGTTACTGCACTGGGCGCCTTCTTAGCTCGATTCCCATATGGCTACTGCTGCTGCACTTTCTAGATTTTTTTATTGTCCTTCCTTCCTTCTTTCCTTCCTTCCTTCCTCTCTCTCTCTCCCCCCCCCCATTTCCCTTTGGCCTTTGATACTAAGAAGGATAGCAGTTTTTTACCTACAGATTTTTACTGGGATTTATGTTTTCCTCCAAGGACGCAACGACCGGCCTCTCTTATTATATTTTAAGAATCAAGTGCACTTCTTTCAAATTCTTCAGTTCCCCCTTTCTTTAAGTTAATTGAAAAAGGAAATAACTTGTGGGCCGATGAGGGAAGTAATGAACTATTTTAATTTTAAACACTGATTTTTTTTTCATTATCGATAATCAAAATAATAATAATAAAAAAAATCCGACGTGTTATTTATGACCCGGCTTCTTCCTTCATGTTTTCGTTTAGCGTAGAAAGTAGCTCAAGGCAAGCGGGCAAACTACGGGAGCATTTGGACCCCGTTTCTCCGAAGGGACCTCGAAAGCGCTTTGTTCCGGGACCCCTTTCCAGCGTTCCTTGCCCTCCTCTCTGGGAAAGCTGAGCCTGACTCGAGCCCAGCGCCTGGGACGAGAAAGCGAAGCCCCTTCCTTCCCCTTCCTTAACCCGCGTGCTTCGGGGAGGAAGGCTAAGCCCGTTTTGTTTTGCTTTGTTTCATATGGCCCTGCTTCAGGTAAACGCGTTTCGCTGTGCTTGGCACGCTGGAAAGACCAACTAGACTAGTGCTCATTGGAAGGTAGCAAAGTATTAAGGCCGCCAGGCTTCTGTCCGGCAGGCCGCGGAGCCCCCACTGTCAACGCAAAGCCTCCTAGATTCCTGCCGGATACGCGAGTGCGAAGATCAGCTCCCGATTGATTTTCATGGGATTTCAAAGCGAGCGCCGATTTCCTCGGGTTTGGGGAGAGAGCGAAAGGCCCAAAACACAAGGCTGACTTCTCCCAAAAACCGTGGACTACCCAGGCCGTTATTTTACACTGAATCCGCTGTTGGGAATGGCTATTGTGTATATTCTCATCTCCATTGTTGAGAATGGACATTGTACATTCTCGTGCATATTGTTGAGAATGAGCATTGTGCATTCTCGCATATTGTTGAGAAGGAATGTGGGCATATAAATTTGAATGCACGCTTCTTTCTTTCTTTTTCTTTTTCTTTCTCGCCAGTAAAGGAGCCCTTGCAACGTTAAGCGCAGGCTTATTGAAGGTTGGTTGTTGTTAGCCATGGCTTACTAAATGAACACCATGTTCTGCATTTGCATGAGCCGCTGAACCAGACCCTGGGCTGCTTTTACTAACAATACGCTTGGCTGAAATGAAGTTGGCTAGCTTGTGAAAATGAAGTTGGCTAGTTTGTGATCACATATTCGCCACCACAAGTTCCCACCGGATCTTCTTCAAGACAAAAGGTTGGATTTGGGTATCTGGAAAAGGACGTCTAGTTACACATCCAGTGTGCTATCGACATACAATCTATCAAACTTGCATAGGCATATGTTTTTATTTTACAGTTTAGAGTGAAATAGAAGCTTTCTTAGAAATATGATTCTTATTCAATTTTAATATTAATAACTCAATTTCAGATATCTTATTCCCTATTTATAAACACTTGCCTTTCTTAGTCGTTCTGACTAACTAGGAGATTTGCTGGGATTATCTTTAATCTGGGTATTTCCAAAATCTATCTCTCTATCTCTCTCTCTATCTACCTACCTACCTACCTATCTATGCCGCTCTCAGTCATTCTGGCTACTAGGCTCAATCTGCTGGGATTATCTTCATTTTGGGAGTGGTCCTTTCATTTGGATCGATTGGTGCAGTATCTTTTTTTCTTCTTCCTGTAAATAGCAATCCAAGCATGCTGGTCTATATCCAGGAAGATATGGAGATGTTCAGAAGGCTGGTTGCGGAATCAGAAACAAAGGAAAGTTGAGGAGGCGGTCCTAGCAACAGCAAGGACATTCCTACATATCTTCTGAAAGCCTTACAGCAGCCTCCTCAGAGGGACCAACATGGTGGGATCCTTGTTATTGAGGTGTGAAAGGGAGA